GATCCTGGGTTCGAATCTCAGTGGTGCCTTTTTTATTTAGGTGCTTCACCGAACAATTCCTTGTTTGATAATTACATTATTGACACTCATGATTGGTACTCGTCCAGGGTTGGGAAATTCTCTTTAGGCTGGTGGATGATATGCAAACAAATCGGAACCTGCTATAATTTTAGAAATAAAAATAACCTGGCAATTGAAATATCACTGTGTCGATGAAACGTATGACACTTAATATGGATCGTAATAATGTCCACACAGTGTACCGAGAGGTAGAAACGAAAGGTCAAAATTCGTGACCAGGGTGCCATGGCTTAGTTGGTTAAAGCGCCTGTCTAGTAAACAGGAGATCCAGAGTTCGAATCTCAGTGGTGCCTTTTTTATTTAGGTGCTTCACCGAACAATTACTTGTTTGATAATTACATTATTTGTTCTCGTCCAGGGTTGGGAAATTCTCTTCAGGATGGTGGATGATATGCAAGTAAATCGGAACATGCTATCATTATAAAAATAAAAATTACCTGGAAATTGGAATATCACTGTGTCGACGAAACGTATGACACTTAATATGGATCGTAATAATATCCACACAGTGTACCGAGAGGTAGAAACGAAAGGTCAAAATTCGTGACCAGGGCGCCATGGCTTAGTTGTTTGATAATTACATTATTGACACTCATGATTGGTACTCGTCCAGGGTTGGGAAATTCTCTTTAGGCTGGTGGATGATATGCAAATAAATCGGAACATGCTATCATTTTAAAAATAAAAATAACCTGGCAATTGAAATATCACTGTGTCGATGAAACGTATGACACTTAATATGGATCGTAATAATGTCCACACAGTGTACCGAGAGGTAGAAAAGAAAGGTCAAAATTTGTGACCAGGGCGCCATGGCTTAGTTGGTTAAAGCGCCTGTCTAGTAAACAGGAGATCCTGAGTTCGAATCTCAGTGGTGCCTTTTTTATTTAGGTGCTTCACCGAACAATTCCTTGTTTGATAATTACATTATTTGTACTCGTCCAGGGTTGGGAAATTCTCTTCAGGCTGTTGGATGATATGCAAGTAAATCGGAACATGCTATCATTATAAAAATAAAAATTACCTGGAAATTGGAATATCACTGTATCGATGAAACGTATGACAGTTAATATAGATCGTAATAATATCCACACATTGTACAGAGAGGTAGAAACGAAAGGTCAAAATTCGTGACCAGGGCGCCATGGCTTAGTTGGTTAAAGCGCCTGTCTAGTTAACAGGAGATCCTGAGTTCGAATCTCAGTGGTGCCTTTTTTATTTAGGTGCTTCACCGAACAATTCCTTGTTTGATAATTACATTATTGACACTCATGATTGGTACTCGTCCAGTGTTAGAAAATTCTCCTCAGGCTGGTGGATGATATGCAAGTAAATCGGAACATGCTATCATTATAAAAATAAAAATTACCTGGAAATTTGAATATCACTGTGTCGATGAAACGTATGACACTTAATATGGATTGTAATAATGTCCATGCAGTGTACCGAGAGGTCGAAACGAAAGGTCAAAGTTCGTGACCAGGGTGCCATGGCTTAGTTGGTTAAAGCGCCTGTCTAGTAAACAGGAGATCTTGAGTTCGACCCTCAGTGGTGCTTATTTTTATTTATGTGCTTCACCGAACAATTTCTTGTTTGATAATTACATTATTTACACTCATGATTGGTACTCGCCCAGGGTTGGGAAATTCTCCTTAGCTGGTGGATGATATGCAAGTAAATCGGACATGCTATCATTTTAAAATAAAATAGCCAGGAAATTTGAATATCACTGTGTCGATGAAACTTATGACACTTAATATGGATCGTAATAATGTCCACACAGTGTACCGCGAGGTAGAAACGAAAGGTCAAAGTTCGTGACCAGGGTGCCATGGCTCAGTTGGTTAAAGCGCCTGTCTAATAAACAGGAGATCCTGAGTTCGACTCTCAGTGGGGCCTATTTTTATTTAGGTGCTTCACCGAACAATTCCCTGTTTGATAATTACATTATTTGTACTCGTCCAGGGTTGGGAAATTCTCCTTAGGCTGGTGGATGATATGCAAGTAAATCGGAACATGCTATCATTTTAAAAATAAAAATAGCTTGGAAATTGAAATATCACTGTGTCGATGAAACTTATGACACTTATTATGGATCGTAATCATGTCCATACAGTGCACCGAGAGTTAGAAACGAAAGGTCAAAGTTCGTGACCAGGGTGCCATGGCTTAGTTGGTTAAAGCGCCTGTCTAGTAAACAGGAGATCCTGAGTTCGAATCTCAGTGGTGCCTTTTTTATTTAGGTGCTTCACCGAACAATTCCTTGTTGGATAATTACATTATTTGTACTCGTCCAGGGTTGGGAAATTCTCTTCAGGCTGGTGGATGACATGCAAGTAAATCGGAACATGCTATCATTATAAAAATAAAAATTACCTGGAAATTGGAATAACACTGTATCGATGAAACGTATGACACTTAATATGGATCGTAATAATATCCACACAGTGTACCGAGAGGTAGAAACGAAAGGTCAAAATTCGTGACCAGGGCGCCATGGCTTAGTTGGTTAAAGCGCCTGTCTAGTAAACAGGAGATCCTGAGTTCGAATCTCAGTGGTGCCTTTTTTATTTAGGTGCTTCACCGAACAATTCCTTGTTGGATAATTACATTATTTGTACTCGTCCAGGGTTGGGAAATTCTCTTCAGGCTGGTGGATGACATGCAAGTAAATCGGAACATGCTATCATTTTAAAAATAAAAATAACCTGGAAATTGAAATATCACTGTGTCGATGAACCGTATGACACTTAATATGGATCGTAATAATGTCCACACAGTGTACCGCGAGGTAGAAACGAAAGGTCAAAGTTCGTGACCAGGGTGCCATGGCTCAGTTGGTTAAAGCGCCTGTCTAATAAACAGGAGATCCTGAGTTCGACTCTCAGTGGGGCCTATTTTTATTTAGGTGCTTCACCGAACAATTCCCTGTTTGATAATTACATTATTTGTACTCGTCCAGGGTTGGGAAATTCTCCTTAGGCTGGTGGATGATATGCAAGTAAATCGGAACATGCTATCATTTTAAAAATAAAAATAGCTTGGAAATTGAAATATCACTGTGTCGATGAAACTTATGACACTTATTATGGATCGTAATCATGTCCATACAGTGCACCGAGAGTTAGAAACGAAAGGTCAAAGTTCGTGACCAGGGTGCCATGGCTTAGTTGGTTAAAGCGCCTGTCTAGTAAACAGGAGATCCTGAGTTCGAATCTCAGTGGTGCCTTTTTTATTTAGGTGCTTCACCGAACAATTCCTTGTTGGATAATTACATTATTTGTACTCGTCCAGGGTTGGGAAATTCTCTTCAGGCTGGTGGATGACATGCAAGTAAATCGGAACATGCTATCATTATAAAAATAAAAATTACCTGGAAATTGGAATAACACTGTGTCGATGAAACTTATGACACTTATTATGGATCGTAATCATGTCCATACAGTGCACCGAGAGTTAGAAACGAAAGGTCAAAGTTCGTGACCAGGGTGCCATGGCTTAGTTGGTTAAAGCGCCTGTCTAGTAAACAGGAGATCCTGAGTTCGAATCTCAGTGGTGCCTTTTTTATTTAGGTGCTTCACCGAACAATTCCTTGTTGGATAATTACATTATTTGTACTCGTCCAGGGTTGGGAAATTCTCTTCAGGCTGGTGGATGACATGCAAGTAAATCGGAACATGCTATCATTATAAAAATAAAAATTACCTGGAAATTGGAATAACACTGTGTCGATGAAACGTATGACACTTAATATGGATCGTAATAATATCCACACAGTGTACCGAGAGGTAGAAACGAAAGGCCAAAATTCGTGACCAGGGCGCCATGGCTTAGTTGGTTAAAGCGCCTGTCTAGTAAACAGGAGATCCTGAGTTCGAATCTCAGTGGTGCCTTTTTTATTTAGGTGCTTCACCGAACAATTCCTTGTTTGATAATTACATTATTGACACTCATGATTGGTACTCGTCCAGTGTTAGAAAATTCTCCTCAGGCTGGTGGATGATATGCAAGTAAATCGGAACATGCTATCATTATAAAAATAAAAATTACCTGAAAATTTGAATATCACTGTGTCGATGAACCGTATGACACTTAATATGGATCGTAATAATGTCCACACAGTGTACCGCGAGGTAGAAACGAAAGGTCAAAGTTCGTGACCAGGGTGCCATGGCTTAGTTGGTTAAAGCGCCTGTCTAATAAACAGGAGATCCTGAGTTCGACTCTCAGTGGTGCCTATTTTTATTTAGGTGCTTCACCGAACAATTCCTTGTTTGATAATTATATTATTGACACTCATGATTGGTACTCGTCCAGGGTTGGGAAATTCTACTTAGGCTGGTGGATGATATGCAAGTAAATCGGAACATGCTATCATTATAAAAATAAAAATTACCTGGAAATTGGAATAACACTGTGTCGATGAAACGTATGACACTTAATATGGATCGTAATAATATCCACTCAGTGTACCGAGAGGTAGAAACGAAAGGTCAAAACTCGTGACCAGGGCGCTATGGCTTAGTTGGTTAAAGCGCCTGTCTAGTAAACAGGAGATCGTGAGTTCGAATCTCAGTGGTGCCTTTTTTATTTAGGTGCTTCACCGAACAATTCCTTGTTGGATAATTACATTATTTGTACTCGTCCAGGGTTGGGAAATTCTCTTCAGGCTGGTGGATGACATGCAAGTAAATCGGAACATGCTATCATTATAAAAATAAAAATTACCTGGAAACTGGAATAACACTGTGTCGATGAAACGTATGACACTTAATATGGATCGTAATAATGTCCACACAGTGTACCGAGAGTTAGAAACGAAAGGTCAAAGCTCGTGACCAGTGTGCCATGGCTTAGTTGGTTAAAGCGCCTGTCTAGTAAACAGGAGATCCTGAGTTCGAATCTCAGTGGTGCCTTTTTTATTTAGGTGCTTCACCGAACAATTCCTTGTTTGATAATTACATTATTGACACTCATGATTGGTAGTCGTCCAGTGTTGGGAAATTCTCCTTAGGCTGGTGGATGATATGCAAGTAAATCGGAACATGCTATCATTTTAAAAATAAAAATAGCTTGGAAATTGAAATATCACTGTGTCGATGAAACTTATGACACTTATTATGGATCGTAATAATGTCCACACAGTGTACCGAGAGGTCGAAACGAAAGGTCAAAGTTCGTGACCAGGGCGCCATGGCTTAGTTGATTAAAGCGCCTGTCTATTTCGAATCTCAGTGGTGCCTTTTTATTTAGGTGCTTCACGGAACAATTCCTTGTTTGATAATTACATTATTGACACTCATGGTTGGTACTCGTCCAGTGTTAGAAAATTCTCCTCAGGCTGGTGGATGATATGCAAGTAAATCGGAACATGCTATCATTATAAAAATAAAAATTACCTGGAAATTTGAATATCACTGTGTCGATGAACCGTATGACACTTAATATGGATCGTAATAATGTCCACACAGTGTACCGCGAGGTAGAAACGAAAGGTCAAAGTTCGTGACCAGGGTGCCATGGCTTAGTTGGTTAAAGCGCCTGTCTAATAAACAGAGATCCTGAGTTCGATTCTCAGTGGTGCCTATTTTTATTTAGGTGCTTCACCGAACAATTCCTTGTTTGATAATTATATTATTGACACTCATTATTGGTACTCGTCCAGGGTTGGGAAATTCTCCTTAGGCTGGTGGATGATATGCAAGTAAATCGGAACATGCTATCATTATAAAAATAAAAATTACCTGGAAATTGGAATAACACTGTGTCGATGAAAAGTATTACACTTTATATGGATCGTAATAATATCCACACAGTGTACCGAGAGGTAGAAACGAAAGGTCAAAATTCGTGACCAGGGCGCCATGGCTTAGTTGGTTAAAGCGCCTGTCTAGTAAACAGGAGATCGTGAGTTCGAATCTCAGTGGTGCCTTTTTTATTTAGGTGCTTCACCGAACAATTCCTTGTTGGATAATTACATTTTTTGTACTCGTCCAGGGTTGGGAAATTCTCTTCAGGCTGGTGGATGACATGCAATGTAAATCGGAACATGCTATCATTATAAAAATAAAAATTACCTGGAAATTGGAATAACACTGTGTCGATGAAACGTATGACACTTAATATGGATCGTAATAATATCCACACAGTGTACCGATAGGTAGAAACGAAAGGTCAAAAATCGTGACCAGGGCGCCAATAGCTTAGTTGGTTAAAGCGCCTGTCTAGTAAACAGGAGATCCTGAGTTCGAATTTCAGTGGTGCCTTTTTTATTTAGGTGCTTCACTGAACAATGCCTTGTTTGATAATTACATTACTGACACTCATGATTGGTACTCGTCCAGGGTTGGGAAATTCTCCTTAGGCTGGTGGATGATATGCAAGTAAATCGGAACATGCTATCATTTTAAAAATAAAAATAGCTTGGAAATTGAAATATCACTGTGTCGATGAACTTATGACACTTAATATGGATCGTAATAATATCCACACAGTGTACCGATAGGTAGAAACGAAAGGTCAAAAATCGTGACCAGGGCGCCAATAGCTTAGTTGGGTTAAAGCGCCTGTATAGTAACAGGAGATCCTGAGTTCGAATCTCAGTGGTGCCTTTTTTATTTAGGTGCTTCACCGAACAATTCCTTTGTTTGATAATTACATTATTGACACTCATGATTGGTACTCGTCCAGTGTCGGACAATTCTCCTCAGGCTGGTGGATGATAAGCAAGAAAATCGGAACATGCTATCATTATAAAAATAAAAATTACCTGGAAATTGGAATATCACTGTGTCGATGAAACGTATGACACTTAATATGGATCGTAATAATGTCCACACAGTGTACCGAGAGGTAGAAACGAAAGGTCAAAATTCGTGACCAGGGCGCTATGGCTTAGT